AACTATGAAACCTAATTGCTCATCAACACTGAGCCGTCACATTAATTCAGGCTTTTAATATTTTCTTGTGATCAATGAGATATTTGTACTCTGTGCTTAATTTCATGCACTTATTTTTATTATTTTTCTTTTTCCCTTAGTGATAGTAATCATAATGGATCAATTTCTGCATTTAGAATTTAATGGTAATCCTTTTCTATTGGCAAGCCTTCCTTGTTTTCATTTGGAATTTCTTTTTAATTCCCTCCAGGTCATTCCTCTCTCACTGTGTGCAGATTACGACAAATGGTCAGTAATTCCAAGTTAGTTATTTGAAGTGAGCATTTCCAAGAGTGAACTATTTCAAGAATAGTTCCTGGATTACCAAATCAAAGTGTTGAAAGTGCTTCAAACAAAACAGAAGCCTACTTTACTGACAACTTCCAAGTCTTTTGTTGAATCCTAGAGGATAAAAATTAGTCTATTTTTATATAAGGATAATAATGTTTGATCTGGTCCCTGTCTAGTCTTTTGAGAATGCACAGTCATCTGGGATACTTTTGAGAAACCAGGTGATTACTTAGCATTTAAAAAAATTAATGGCTGATTAATTTTGTCAAAATGCTAGAAAGGGCTTATATACATCTTTAGTTGTCATAATGTGTTTACCGCAAAATTTAAAATACCTATAGAAATGAATACCTCACAAATTACAGAACACTTGAAACTAACTCAAGAATAAAAGGAGCCCTTGGAAATGGATTCTAGGCCAACCTCATCCAGTTTCTGAACTCTTCTGTTCTACAGCCATGTCCAGTGTCCATTCATCATGTGGTTGAATGCATACCTGGTGATAGATAACTCGCTGTTCATCAAGTCTATCCATTCTATTTTTTGGCACAAGTCTAGTTGATGGAAAGTTCTTGCTGTCGAGCTGATACCTGTCTCATGTAATTACACTCATTGGTACTACCATTCAATTCATATTTCACCATTTTCTTTACACAATATCTTGAGTCTGTCAAGTGCTTTATTGAAGCAAAAATATATTACATACATATTGCATTTCAACAATTTAAGAGTCTAGTCACTTTTTCAGAAGGTATGAATATGGTCAGTCTGCCATTACTTAAGTTGAATGAACACATGCTGTTTTCTGATGCTTGTCATTCATTTTTTGCATATTCATAAATCATCTAAGTCGTCTGCCTAGTTTCTTACTTGAGATCAATGTCAAACAAGTAAATGTCAAGTTTACAGAATACCTTGAAACATATAAAATAGTTATCAAATCTTTAACTTCCATAAAAACCTGTGGGCTATATAAAAAGAAAAAATAAGATCTCCATTATTTACAGAGTGCATGACTTACGGCTTTCAAAATAGCTAACAGTAAGGATTTACCAATTTTGTCATATTTATTAAGAGGAAGACTTTATTTCCTTAGTTAGCTGAACAATGTTTTGGAATTAGTGATAAAAGAAAGATAGCTCATATTTGTGTGTATATATATATATATATATATATATATATAGTATAGCATAGAAATTATAGATAATATTAAAATCAATTCCACATAATTGATTGTTGTGGGATATTTTCATTGATCTTCACCAATCTAGTGTATCCATAGGCAGTGTTGCAACTAATGAAAGAGTATAATCCCAACATGAATGTTAGTTGATACTTTAATTTACGTGAGAGAGTAAGGTGAAAGTGAAACAGCAAGCACGCCACCACTTCACTCATTCACTTAACGTGTGAGAGACTTCTTTACTGAATTGGATAATAGTTTTCAAACATGGAAAGTATATTGTCTCAAATTTGTTTTGCTAGCCACAATATAATGTCAATAGTCACCCAACACTTTAAAATTTATTAAACTTTATTAAAGTGATGAGTAGTTTTGAGTAATTATTATTAGCATTTTTCGCCATATTTTCTTAAGTCTAGAGTGCAAAAATAACAAGTCAAGCCCTGAATTATGGCATTTGATGATTTTTATTCAGTTAACACTCCAATCAGGAGCAATTTTATGACTTGCACGGCATTTCTGAGCACAAGATCAGGGAGGTGTGTGCAGGAGTTCCCCATATATTGTATTTCCACCATACTGATACAGAAGATGTAAACAACCTCAAGAGCATAAAATAATTAGGAAGTGATGAGTTTTGAGTAGTTATTATCTTTGTTTTGAATAAAATTTATTCATTCTAAGTTTATAAACTTTAATTTTTCATAATGGCTGTGTTTAACAATGAGCTTGCAATATTCCTGACAATTTAACAATAGATTCTTGCAATGCGCTACAAGTCAGCTCACACACACCACCAGGTGAGGTGTAATAAGAACATTCCAGCTGTATAGATGTTCTTAAAATTTCGGCCTCTTTTGAAAATGAACAGGAGCTACCGGGAAGCAGTGTAGCGTCCTGTCAGGAATGTGAATTCTGGAATTAGGTGGCCTGCCTCTCTCCCTCAGCATCTGTGTGTCCATGAGCAAATTTCTTAGCCTTTGTGTTCCAGTCTTCTCAGCTGTAAAATGAGTATAATAATGATACCCATCTCAGTTTTAAAATGAGGTGATATACGTACAATACTTAGGGCAAGGCCTAGAATGTAGTTAGCGCTCAATACACACTAACTGCACTATAACTGGATTTTAAGATAGAATGTAATATTGTCAGATTTACAATTTGAAAGATCATCTGTCTATTGGATAGAGTAGTCAACCATGTGGAAAACGCAGTTAAATGTCTATCTTGTCTCCTTAGGGAAGCACAGAGTGATGGTTATTGGATTCAATTTGTGAGAATACAGCCAGACACAACTGGACAGATTTTGAGAGACATTTAAAAGAAAGAGATGTTAAGGAAAACTGCAATGTTTTGAATTAACTAATTGGACAGATTTCCTCTTCACTGAGGCAAAAAATACTGGAAGAGAATCAGTTTTGGGTCAGGAGGGAGATCGGTTCTTTGATTTTAGAATTATAAACTTGAAGTACAACTAAGAATTTCAGGAGATGTGGGGGCTGGCCCCGTGGCCGAGTGGTTAACCTCCTCATCCCGAGGTTTCGCTGGTTTGGATCCTGGGTGTGGACATGGCACCGCTCATCAGGCCATGCTGAGGTGGCGTCCCACATAGCACAGCCAGAGGCTCTCACACTAGCATATGCAACTGTGCACTGGGGGGCTTCAGGGAGAAGAAGGAGAAGAAACAAAAAAGAAGATTGGCAACAGATGTTAGCTCAGGTGCCAATCTTTAAAAAAAATAAAAGAATTTCAGGAGATGTGAAGCAGGCTGATTAGAATCTATATACAGAGTCCAGAGGAGAGGTCTGGGCTGTAGGTATACATTTTGAAATTACTGGCTGAAAGATGGAGTTTAAACCATCTGGGTGGATAAGACCCTTCAGCAGATTGGAACATACAATAGAAAGATAAGGGAGTTTGCCCGAGGAACATCAGTGTTGCAAAGTTGCTGTCTGGCTGCACCCCAGCTGTGCGAGCAGTGAGGGGTAGGTTGAGAAGAGATTGAAGAAAAGACCCAGAAATGGCGTAGGAGACATAAGGGTTTACTGGGTCTTATGCAATGTCCAGTGTGGCCGGCTGGATGGAGTTGTGCACCTGCTCTGGTGACCAGGGAGCGGGTTGCTTATATATGCATTGGAACAAGGTTTTGTGCTTGCCAAGAGGGACTGTCCTTGCATGCCAGCATTTCAAGGACTAGTAGCTCCTGTGGAAGTGCTCTGTGTTCCCTCAGAATGTGATGTTCTCTGAGAAAAACAGTTACAACGCCAGAGGGTTGGCGTCCTGCCCAGAAAGGGGCCAGAAGGACACATGGATGCTATAGGGCACATCAACTATTGCCAGGCAAGGGTGACCTTACAGTTGTGTAGAAGAAACATCAGAGAAAAACAATTATTCAAGGCCCAGTTTGTCATCTCCATTTTATTGATAAGAAAACTGAGACTCGTAGATTTTACATAAATTTGTCTGAGGTCATATAGTTAATAAGCAGTGGAGCTGAGATTCAACTCAGTTTCGTCTTGCTCACAGGCTCTTGGTCCACATGCCACACCTTATTGAGTGTCTCACTATCAGCCTCAGCCTTTGGATTAAATGAGACATGTTTAGCACTGGGTAGCAGGTGGATTCTTCCTCCCTTCTTCTGCATGGGAAGATCCATCAGTGCACAGCTGTATTTCTTATTATGCAATACAGGAGAAAGGAAGACAGGGAAGAGAGAGAGAGGGAAGTATTGGGGAAAGACTTACGAAGATCCTTTCCTACTGAGGTGATATATTCATTGTCTAGATCAGTAACAGTCCTTAGAAAATCTCCAAATCCTTCTGAGGGGTTATGTTTTATTTACAAAACAGGGAAGAACAGGCTCAGGGAGGAAAGATAACCTTTTTAGATGCAACAAGTCATGCCAAGTGAGAAAGGAAACAGAACGCATCATTAACCTCCAAATACCCAAATACGATCTGGCCTGAGTGTACACGTTTCAAAGGGAAGCCCAGAGAAGGGGAGATGAGGTTAGAAGCGAGTGGCGGGGCAGGGCTGAGGTGGCGCTCATTTACTCCAGCCTGCACTATGCATACAATTCAGTAAGCAGAGCTTCACTTTCAAAGGTGCCTCAACTCAGGCCAGAATTCAAAACAAAATTATATGAAATGGTGTCTAAGGAATCACAAAACATCCAATAATAGGTCAATAAAGTGTATATTTTTAAGGACTGTGTGGGAGGTGTGCATCACAAATCTTTCTAGTAAAGAGTTGGAAAAACAACTAAACGTCAAAGCTCCGGTTCAAAATAGCTCACACAAAAGTGAGTAAACAAGGCATCCAGATGAATATAAAATATTTAGTTTTATAAGTGCCACACAATTGAAAAAGACATTAATTGCTCATTCTAACCCAACGGCCACAGTGGTTATAGTCCTTTATAGGAGGGAAAGAACCCCAACAACCCTAGAATACATAGTGTTCCATTCAAGAGACGCTCATCTAATGTCTAACGTCTAACGTCTAACGTCTAACATCGTTCACCACTGGGAGCTGTGGATATAGTGCCGAGGTATGGCTCAGACAATGCCGAGAAGGTAGATTGAATGAAAACAAATGAGGGAGAAATTTAGCTCTGAAGCATTCACTATTCAGCATTTGTATGGGATTTGCCATTTAAAGATATTTAAATCTGTTTCAATATATGCATAACCTAGCAATTCATATACTTGCATTTCCCATACTTTTAAAAGAAGGAATATGTAACGCCTCGTCTTTTCAATAAGGAAACTGAGGCAGAAAGTTAAGTGGCAGTTTAAAATTTGCCAGTAGAAGCACTTTCTCTTTAGTTGAGGGTTCATTCATTTGAAGTGAATTACCTAGTCTCAGGAGCCCCATGATGGCCCTAGCCAGAGTAATTTATTTCCAAGAAGGGAATACTTTACTTTTAAGAGGAAACATTTTTACTTATTGTATTGTAGAATTGTGCCTGTTACTAATATAATAAGAAATATATATCCTGAATACACTCGCATTAAGCCAAATACTGTGTTCTGTTTTTCCTTACCAGATGTTTTATAGCATGTAAGTGTGTTAAAGAAGATTGATAAACCTAATAAACTTATATATAAACCTATCAGTAAGGGATTATAGAGAGGAAATTCTACTTCGGTTTGGAATACTCGTAAGGTTTCAACCACAGGTTTGCTCTACTTTAGCTCATTCCCATTTATAAAAGAACCATTTTTATCCTATGTTTGCAGCACTTATGTTTATACTAAGAAAGAGAAATGCATGCAAAGCTTTTGACTAAATTCTGTCACTAACTCAGCTCTAATGAAAATATTCTACATTTCAGATATTTTGCATCTTTAAAATGGAAATATAATATGGTTGGTTAGGTGCCAATCAGTTTTATTTAATCTGATTTGATTCCTTGAGAAAAAGAAATGCATTTCTAGAAATGTAAATGTGAGTCATTAAAGAGGGAGAAGGGGCTTAGATAATGATTCTATGGAGCCGGGCCAGTAACGTAGCTGTTGGAAAAGGAAGACCTGGTCTACAAGGCAGACAGATAGCAAACGTTATTTTCCAAGTTATAAAAAGTATACATTGCTAATACATAGTTAATAGCATAAAAAACTATAATGAATACATTAAAATCACAAATGTTGACAGAGTAAGAACCACTTTAAGATTTCGATGACTATCTTTCCAGACCTCTTCCAATGACATACTTAAGTAAACTTAACACAAGTCGTATAGCACAGAGTGTCCTACTTACGTCAGCACTGGGTGCATGTCCTTTGGAGAACCAATCAATGATTTCTGGTTGTCGTTTACCTGGTGCAGAGCTGCTACGTCAAAGGGTATTCATCTACTTAACGTTAGTAAATACTGTCAAACAGGTGTTCAGAGAGGTTGTAAAAACGGGTGGATGCTTCAACTTTCTGTTTCACCTTCTCACCAGTCCTTGGAATTGGCAGTACTTCATATTTCAGCCATTCGTGTGTGTTTCTAGTGGTATTGCGTTGTCTAATTTTTACACTTTTTTTCACATTTCTCAGATGGCTAATGATGTTGAGTGGTTTTTCTAATGTTTATAGTCACTTGGATTACCTCTTTTGTGAATTTCACATTCAAGTGTTTCGTGTAATTGTCTATTGGGTAGTCTGGCTCATCTTTATTGATTTGTGGTAGTACTTTATACATTCTTAATATAGGTCCTCTTTGGATATTTAGATCATTTATATTTAATGTACTGATACAGTTGGATTTGTGTCTAAAATCTTGTTATTCGTTTCCCATTTTAACTAGGGGTTTGATATTACTTTTTCTTTTCTTTGTTGCTTTCTTTTGTATTAACCAAATATTTATTATTATTATTTAACTTTTTCTCTATCAAGTTGTTGGTATAAAATCCTTTACTATTCTTTCAGTTTACTGAACTATTTTACAGTAACTATTTTTACTCTAGATATTACGACATACATGCTTGACGACTTCTAATCGAATATAAACAGTCAGTTTTACCAACTCCATTTATCCTCATACCCTCTTTTGTAGTATTTTTTTTAATGAATATTAGTTATACATACATTTAAAAATGCATAGAACATACTTATTTTTATACAATCTTAATTTCTATTTTATACTCTTTTTATTCATTTCTTCTTACCTTTATGTCTTTTCCTCTAGCATCATTTTCTTTCTGACTAAATCATTCCTATTCCTATTTTTCAAATACAGATCTGCTGGTAACAACTTCTCTCAGTTTTAGTTTATTTGAAAATATCTTTAATTTGTCTCCATATTTCAGGGAAATAGTTGTAATGTATAGGATTCTGAGACAACATTTCTTTGTGTCCAGCACTTAAACATGCTCTATATTGTCCTCTGGCTTCTGCATTTTCATAGGTGTCAGCTCTCAGTCAGGTTGTTATCCTTTTGAAGGTTAAGTCTACTTTTCCTTTGGTTACTTTTAAATGTTCTCTTTTTCTTCGGTTTTCAGCATTTTGACCAGGATGTGCCTGAGTGTATTCTGTGACTTGATTTGATTATTTTGCATCTTACTTGGTGTAGGCAGAGATTCTTGGTCCCGTGATCTAACAGCCTTTGTTAGTATTTTTTAAACTAATTATCTCTTCGAATATTTCTTCTGCTCAATTCTTTATCTCACCTCTTAAAACCCCAATTACAAGGAAGTTAGCTCTTTTCATATTCCTCTGGTTTTTTATACTTCTTTTCTATGTTTGTGTCAGTTTGAATATTTTCTTTTTATCTGTCTCCCAGTTCTCTAACTCTCTTTTTTCTTATATCTATTTTTCTATTAAAATAATCTACTCATTTTAAAATTACACATATTGTATTTTCATTTCTATAATTTCTATTTTATTATACTGTATAGGTTCCAATTTTCTTTTGAAATTCTCAATATTTTACTCTGTTTTATTCATTTTTTTCTTATATTTTCTTGAACAAATTCATCCTAGTTATATTCCTGTCTACTAGATCCAGATTATCTGTAGACATGGTTTACTTTTTTATGATTATCTATTTTCTTTGACAAGAATTTTCAAAATTCCATTTGAAAAGTTGAGTTCCATACGTTGCATATGTGGAGGCTTCATGTGATGTTACATCACAATAGGGAGCTTCACCCTTTCATTTTCCAAGCAGACAGAGGAGGGGCCTGGCCACCTCACCCTAATAGGGGATTAAGTGGCGTTACGGCTGGGTTGCTATTTTGGTAATAGTTAATCTAGATCTCTCTGTCCCAGTTTCCAGGGTGTAGCCCTCCTGGACCTTCAGTTTGCAGCATATTATGATTACCAGGCTTCTCCTCAGTGATTATTTTGCTCATGAAGAGCAAAGACTGCGTCACTTAAGCTCAGTATTGCAGAGGCTGTGGTTAAGGCTCTGAGACACCTGCCTTGCTCACATTCATAATTCAGTAAATGTCTTGTGGGGAAAACTGGCTTTTTGATGCCTTCATATCTTCAGTTTTTCACTCTACTAGCATCCCTTTGCTTTGCCAAAACCTGGATTTTTATCCACTAGCTACATTCAAGATTGGCTGAGGCCCCAGGAATAATATTGTAGAATGTCAATATACTGCTTCTGCAGAATAATTCTTGCTGCATAATAAATTACCACAAACAGCAGCTTCATGTACATACATTTGTTACATATTATGTATGTATTTAATATGTATGTTAACATAACATACGTTTATTGTCTCAGTTTCTATGGGTGAGGAGTTTGGGTCCAGCTTAACGTGGTCGTGTGCTCAGGTTCCACAAGGTTATAGTCTCGATACATCGTGTTCTTGAGCTCAGGGTCATCTTGCAAACTGAGCTAGGTGTTGGGAAAATTCAGTTCCCAGTTGTTCGGAAAAAGTAGCAGTACCCAGTGGCAAACAGGTTCCCCCTGCAGCTTCTTTGGTTGGTTTTGTAAATGCCTCCAGCAAGTCATTTCCCCAAGAACAGGTTTTTCGACTGCTGACGGCAGATTTCCGACAAGTCCCCCAGGGAGCATGGCAGTGACTTCTCTGCCATTCAGGGCCCACAGTCGTGCCCTCTCCAGCCAGTTGTGGAGCTCCATTGTGGCTGTGGGGCCTTTTTTCAGGCACAATATCATAGCTATAGGAGTAGTGGCTGACCCTTCTCTCTGCTGTTCTCTTATTCTCTGGAGTTATCTGTAATCCCTAATAGCCAATCCTCATTACTGCAGCGTGCTGTTATAGTTAGTGATTCTTTCTATTAAACTTCCCCTGTTCAAATTATTATGTGGTTTCTATCTCCTGTTTGGACTCTGACTCATACATTCGGTGTTGTTTTTAATGGCTATTCTTCTGCCACCACTGATTATTGGTACCTAATCTATAATAGTTGTTCCACTACTGATTATTGGTACCTAATCTATAATAGTTGTTCCACTACTGATTATTGGTACCTAATCTAAAATAGTTGTTCCACTACTGATTATTGGTACATAATCTATAATAGTTGTTCCTTGTTATGAAGAAAGAGTTAAAGCAAATTGACAATTAACATAATACATATTAAAGAGCAATGTAAGCTACTTGAGCTCACAAAAACGAAGTGAGAATTAGAGACGGAATCTTAGAGAAAGGGAGTGATTTTTTTTTTTAATCATAAAACTAAGTACAAAAGAAGGCAAGACAATTCAGAAGGGAAAATAACGATGCAAGATAAAGTTAAATCAAGAGAACATGAGTAGAATAGAACTAAATTCCTATTGTCAGCATATTGGGTCAGATAAGCTAAATTAAACAAACAAATAAGCAAAGAAAACCCAAACTCTCCAAATGAAGCATGTAACATACTGGACAGATAAACATCGTTTTGAAAAAATCCGTGTAAGGCCAAAATGTAAGGAAACCAACAGGCCCAAGTGAAACAAACCAGGCAAAGTTGGGGGCCAAGATCTTCTTCAACCCCAAGGGGTTCTGCCATGTCCCATTTAACTTGAGCTGAGGTGAATATACAGTTTTAAGGGTGTGATACAAAGGCAAGATTTACACAGTTGTCAGTCTCCAGTAAAACTAAC